GTAATGTTTAAGCAAATTTTCATTTGTTGGTGAACTGTTCCTTTAATGTTAATGTTTAATATTGGATCTGCCTGCCCTGTGGAATTATGTATTATTTACACCGATCAGGGATAACATTATGACCACCTTCCTAATATTGTGTTGGTCCCCCTTTTGCTGCCAAAACAGCCCTGACCCGTCGAGGCATGGACTCCACTAGACACCTAAAGTATCTGGTATCTGGCACCAAGATGTTAGCAGCAGATCCTTTAAGTCCTGTAAGTTGCGAGGTGGGGCCTCCATGGATCGGACTTGTTTGTTCAGCACATCCCACAGATGCTCGATTGGATTGAGATCTGGGGAATTTGGAGGCCAAGTCAACACCTCAAACTCATTGTCGTGCTCCTCAAATGATTCCTGAACCATTTTTGCTTTGTGGCAGGGCGCATTATCCTGGTGAAAGAGGCCACAGCCACCAGGGAATACCGTTTCCATGAAAGGGTGTACATGGTCTGCCTTAATGCTTAGGTAGGGGGTACGTGTCAAAGTAACATCCACATGGATGGCAGGACCAAAGGTTTCCCAGCAGAACATTGCCCAAAGCATCACACTGCCTTCGCTGGCTTGCCTTCTTCCCATAGTGCATCCTGGTGCAATGTGTTCCCCAAGTAACCGACGCACACGCACCTGGCCATCCACGTGATGTAAAAGAAAACGTGATTCATCAGACCAGGCCACCTTCTTCCACATTGCTCTGTGGTCCAGTTCTGATGCTCACGTGCCCACTGTTGGCGCTTTGGGAGGTGGACAGGGATCAGCATGGGCACCCTGACTGGTCTGCGACTATGCAGCCCCATACGTAACAAACTGTGATGCACTATGTATTCTGACACCTTTCTATCAGAACCAGCATTAACTTCTTGAGCAATTTGAGCTACAGTAGCTCGTCTGTTGGATTGGACCACACGGGCCAGCCTTTGCTCCCCACGTGCATCAATGAGCCTTGGCTGCCCATGACCCTGTCGGCGGTTCACCACTGTTCCTTCCTTGCACCACTTTTGATAGCTACACATACTGCAGACCAGGAACACCTTACAAGAGCTGCAGTTTTGAAGATGCTTTGACCCAGTCAAGTCGTCTAGCAATCACAATTTGGCCCTTGTCTAACTCTCTCAAATCCTTACACTTGTCCATTTTTCCTGCTTCTAACACATCAACTTTGAGGACAAAATGTTCACTTGCTGCCTAATACTGTATATCCCACCCACTAACAGGCACCGTGATGAAGAGATAATCAGTGTTATTCACTTCACCTGTCAGTGGTCATAATGTTATGCCTGATTGTCTATATAGCTTTGACAGTATTATTTGTTGCACAGTGTGGTGTGTTAGTCATGACATCTAGTCCTGAGAGGGTCAGTAAATGACTGTCTATAAAGGGGATTCATATAAGACCTGTCCCACCCTGCAACACTCATCAGAACAGACTGAGCTAAACATTGAATTCAAATGTTAATATAGAGAAGAAGAGAGAAAGAAAAAAAGGAGAGGGAAAGTTCAAGTGGTCAAAAGAGTACGCTCTCTCTGTGTAATGGTTAATAAACCCCTTTTATTGTGTTATTTCCCATAATTTGTTGCGTCATCAAATAAGAAGTGTCTCTAACCTTTAGCTTCAGAGCTCTGGGGAAAGGTGTTTCTGTGTGAATCTGTGACACCACAGACAATACGAGGAGGAGCCTGGCCATTCACTCAAATTAAAACGGGAGAAATTGCAATTATTAACAAAAAAGCAATCATGTTTCTCAAACCATTCAGGCAGATTTTATTGGTGATTTGTTATATGTTTTTGAAATTTAAGCTTGGCAAACAGTTCTGGATTTCTAAATCTCTTGCCACAGAGCTAGAAGTAGCATTTGACTAGAAGTAGCTGCCTGGGGGTGTTATGAAGATTGCCTAAAAGGACTTTGGTGAAACTCATGATCAGTTCATTCAGTGTTTATAATGTTATTCCCTTTACTTTTAACAGAATGGATATGAGCGAGATGGAAAAAGGAGATGGTCTTATCATTTTCTTTCTGGCTTTTTCAGATAGCATATTTTCCATTTAACTTTTTAGGAACTCCCGAGCTTCTTCTTTCAACTTCCTTGTGTCAGGAAATGTGTTCTTTTAGCGCCTTCATTTAAATAAAATATATATTTTCCCCATTATCATGAATATGGATGAGAAAAGAAATTATATATTCCCACTGAGTCTATATTTGTTCTGCTGTTAAATCTAAGCAACTAAGCACAAATCTTATGCAAGCTTGCAAACATAGTGAGTGTTAGCCTAATGAATATTCAAAAGGAAAATCTTCTTTGTTCATCTACTTTATTCTTGTCTTTGTCCCTTGTAGTTTTAATTTATTGCATTAATTAATTAATTAATTGTATTTGTTTTCAATTTATTTATTCATTTTCATATGTTATCAATTCAATGTCCCGCAAAACTCAGCAGAATACAAGTTTGGTGATTAAATAAAACACAATACTGTAATTCGCCAGTTGGCCGATAAGTTTATTAAGAACTTTAACCTTACGTGGGTTGAATTGTAAGATATGACATGTTTATATGCGTAATGCAAATAAATCAGTCACAAGTTGTTATGAAATGTCGGTAAAAACAAATTTAGAGAACATTCATATGAATGGCAAGTAATTGGAAGAGGTTTGCCTATGTCATCTTAATTGGCTTGTGTGGCAAAAAGCTCATTTTGAACTGTGCGTCTGTTTGTAGTCTGTGAATTCTCTGTGAATAGAAACAAGACCTTTGCTTTGTGGGCGATGTGTTGAATTACAATGCAGAATCTAAATGGGTTGCACCATGCTGAAGTGACCCGAATTGTAGCTGATGCGTTATAAGTAAAGAGCAGGGAGGGGTTGTTCATGCAAAGCTGTCCTCAATGTTTTTCACTCTCTTTCACACCCTGTCTTGTGCAACCCTTAATTTAGCCCTCATTAATATCACAGCAGCCTCCTTGAATTCACAATGTAGCCACCTAATTCCATCAAAAGCCAGCGGACGGGTGATCATTAATAGCACAACATCGGTTCCGATACGTCTCCTTAAGTAAATACAATGATGTTCCTGACAGGAATTACATTCTAATGGAACACATTAGCACAGGGAGTGTGAGCCAGGCCCCCCGGGGCCCAGCCCAATGGGATTGAAGGACCTTATTAGTGAGGTAAAATCTCTCAGATGAGTGGCCAACCCAAGGTCCTGACCCAGTTCAGTCAGACCAGATCCCACAAGTATTTTTTTTTTCCGAATGGAAAGAGAGAGTAATGTAAAGAGAGACTAGAAGAGGCGAAAATGGAGAGCAAAGGGCCCTCTTTTAGTGTGCTTGAGGAATCCATCTTATTCATGAACAGATGAAGCGGCATCCTGAACAGGCTCTTGAGTATAGGTGAATGAAAGTGCTATTTAGATGAAAAGAGATTTTATATTCCTTTCAATTTGTGGTTTTATAAACTGTTTTAGTATATTTCAAATATATGATTTTCAAGTGTGACTCATATTTTACTTTATGTTGGATTTGCTGGTTCAGACATGCCAGTTCACCAGTGGGTCAGATAACTCTATAAAATCCATAATCTCTGAATTCAAAGCAACACAAAGACCATTAATAGTATGTGTGGCCATGTGTGGGCTCTTTAATCCCTCTAAATTAGCCTTTGACCATGACCAATATTATTGAAGGACAGAAAAGATTACAGATATGTCTCAATTAACTCTCTTTCTGTCTGGATCAACAGAGATTCTTGGCTTCTAGATATGGGTATGACAGCCCATTTCAATGTGTTTGAGGTTCTGGAATTGAAAAAAAAAAGCAGCACCCCTCAGAGAGCTAAAACAAGTTAAACAAGTTCAGCTGAAACAAACCAGAGAGGTACTGTAGAATCACAGTGGAAGGAAATTGGACATTTTGTGGTTTGAGGAGTTTATTTCACTAGAGGTCTTCAAATTGGTTTCAGGGACCCTCAAGGGACCACAAGGGGGTGCTAGGGTGTCTGTGAAAAAATGAGGAAAACAAAAGAGAGAAATTGTACAAAATGCTTTTTTAGGACTGTCATAATAATGAAATGTGATATTATTATTATTATTATTATTTAAACCACCAAATCTAATCATACATTACTATTTAATTAAAGACAAAAAGTAAGGTAAAATGAAGGAACTATCTGAAGGAAATATCTGGATATAGTTTGTGGATAGTATTATATATTAAAAATATAATTATATATTAAGTTTTAATAATTTTTTTATTTTAAGTTTGACTTTTTACTTAATTTTAGAAATGTTTCACAATATAATATAAACGAGTTTTTATACATAAAATTTTTAAACACTTTATAGTTGCGCTTGTATTTTATCTGTAGCCCAACATTAGATCACTGGCAGAATTTTCAGACTCTAATTTTACGAGATTCCAATAAATATCAGACATTTGGCACACTTTTATCCAAAGCAATATGTGGTGCATTCAAGCAATACATTTTATTGGTATGTGTAAACCTATTATTTTTACGTTGCTAGCACCATGAGACCAATTCAGGTAGAGGAACGTTTGTTTACAAAGCAAAGTAATTGAAGAGTGTCTTTGAAAGTAAATGTCTTTGAAAACAACATTGAAGTGTGCTTTTAGAATCTAGCTGTTAAAGGGGAATCACACATCTAATTAATATTGGAGTTAAATTTATGAGAACTTAGTGAGTCACAGAGCAGAACGAAGCCTAGAGCGAAAATCGCTAGACTGGAAAATGGTGTTGGAAATAAGGACATTACAAAGAGTGCAGTAAAACCCAATCTACTGTAGTCAGTCCTTCAAAGATCTAATAAGACAGTCTTTAAGGTAAAGAAGTTGTGTAAATTTTGCAGAGCCTGCATACTCTCTCTGTGATGTATAAAACATGCACTGATTAAGATTCTCCAATGCGGCTGATTTCCCTCTCTCTCTCTCTCTTTCTCTGCTCTTCAGTTCCATGGTTGCTTGGCGACCTGGAGGAATGCTGGGATGTAGAATGTGGATCCTCTTCATCCTTGTCCACCTCACAATGGATCTGTCTCTGTGTGCACCAGCAGGCCAAGGGCTCACACTCAAACTACTGCCCAGATCAGTGCCCCGCTGGCAGCCACACCCTCTGCCTAGTCGGGACACGCTCACCGGCCAGCACTTGAGGACTCTGGGTGTCTTGCATCGTGGTGTTCCCCCTCCCTTGCCATCACTAGGCAATCATGGGGAGCTGGGGGGCACCAAACTGTGGGGGCGGAAAAACCGCAGGTCACTCCAAAAACGACAACTTTGTGCAGAGTGCCAATTGACCCCCTCTGACAAAGGGAAGTCGGTTGCATTACCAGAGGAGAGTAAATCTGATTTAAATCTGCATTTATCTCGCTCACGGAGGCAGCTGAAAGGGGACGGCTATGACTCCCTGGAGGGGAGGACCACCACAGTGGCAGGATTTATTGACTGGGGCCCTACAGGGATCGACGAGGGGCTTGAGGAGGAGGCGAAGGTGACTCCGAATGCCATCGTCACCTCTTTAGCCCCTTCCATCACCAGAGTTACCATAACTAGCACTACCACACACAGCCCCCAAAGGACGTATGCGGTGATTACAACTGCACATCCTAAGAGGCACAGCACCACACAGCCAAGCAACTCCAGAGTGACTGCCAAACCACCGAAACCTTTTGGGGACACACCAGGTAGGGCATAAATCTGAATGACGGCTGTTTCTTCATGTAGTTTTCGTTTCTAATCTGTGTAAGGTACTTAATCAACGTATGTTTGATCACATATTTAAAATTCAGAGGCGGTGAAACACGAAAATATATTTTTAGGGACCGTCAGGCGGTTTAAGGTAATTCGTGAACATAGTGCAGAGGCCTTTGGGTCTCAAACCACAATGCAGTGCATCAAAAACACTGTGTGGGTTCTTTGAAAAACTGAGGGTGGAAAATACTCACGAAGCTGCAATTGGCACACAACTGCTCGGCAATTTACAGCAAAGAAGGTGGTTGAATTGTCGAAGGGCCAAGAGCGTGCATCTAGCTAGTTTTTTTTTTTTGGTGAAAATATTGGCTACATTTTGCTGTGAAAAACATCAGCTGCTGTATAATTATGGAACATAAGCAAATATGGAGAAAATAATGTACTAGTGTTGAAAGTTTGTCATATTGGTTAATAGGCTATTTTGAAAGTTTTGTGAAAGTGGAAATGTGTCACTTTTGCTTTTTGTGGCTTAAAGTTTCTTAAGCAGGCGGAAGAATACAGTGTTGTACATATATAATATGAATTTTTCAATGTTCTTGAAATAAGTCTCTTATAAATCAAGGCTGCATTTATTTAATTAGATTCACAGAAACCTGAAATTTAGCAGTCATTACTCCAGTCTTCATTGTCACATGATCCTTCAGAAATCATTTTAATCTGCTGATCATCTATAATTCTTTCAGTTACAATTTATGTTAACACTTAAATTTGAACCGCAATTTTCAATTCAAATTTAGGAATTTAACTGGAATTTAAAAGGCAATTATTATTTACATTTTAGATGGCCAGTTGATTAAATTTGGCCAGTTTTGAAGGCAGCATAGTTTCCTTTGTGCATCCTTTGCTGTTTTTGATATTCTGCAATATAGTGTGTGGAGTTCAGGTTTACAAAAAATAAGAATTACATTTGAAAAAAAGTTGATTTATTAATGTCCATTTTTTCAACACTCAGTTTCAACTGAGAACTAAGCATCGTAATCATCTCTAAAACTTTCTTGATGTTCTGGAGCCCTAGAAGCCTGAAAACCAGTTTTCATATGCAAAATGTTGCTTGTTTAGTCATTGTCTGGGCACAGAGGCAGGAAAATGGTTTTAATGCTCTTCTGCTGTTACATTTATCATCTTTGGCTCCATTGCATAATCTAGGCTTTGGTACTGCATGACAGAGTAGCCTACATATGGCAACCTCAGTATCTGTCAGTAGTATTTGTGAATCCTGGGGAGATTATTCTATTCTCTGTCCTAGAAGGATGATGATTGGCATTAGCTCTCATGTTTGCCATTAGGCTGCAATCTGTCCTCTGTGTTTGGTATTGCACAGCATTAGGCTAGTCATCCATTAAGTGTGAAGTCCTCTGGGTAGATCAACTATTGTGCTCCATAAATCTGTGCAAAAGGGGAAGTGTCTTGACACTTTCTACAAACTGGCTTGACACTATCTGTGTATGACATGCACAGAGATCTGTTATAGTCTACGAAGTGGGCAAAAATGTACAATTAAGTTTACACAAAAGCATGGTTCAGCGCCAGAAATAATAAAAGACAGATAGCATGACCCCTAAAACTGACAAGTTGCCGATTTGCAAAAAAATATGTTTTAATCCCTTAATTCTACACTACAGATCTGCTGTACTGCAAAGTTATTAATCTTCACAAGTTTTGCACATTAGCATGCCATAGATTACATTAGCAGTGAAAGATATTAACAATGAAGACTCCCATAAAATTAGATTCGTGGTGAGTAATATACAAGCGAGAACAATTTTACGACTCTCCTGAATGGAGACTTACATACATCCATGCATGTCGAATTGTATTTCAGCACAAAGGTCAACCTCCAATCAAATGTCATGGCCTCATTAACCACAGGAATGATTAGCCAAATGAAGTCAATCTGGAGTGAGGACAGCAGTGTCATTACATCTAAAGGCCAGCATAAGGTTTGCCTTAATCTCTAAAGTGCTGTTCCAATAATCCTCTTCGCCTTTCTTCCTCTTCTTCATTTCTTCTGATCTTTATAAAGGCTACGCAGGTGAATGCAAAATATCAATCGCACCAAACTGACAGTTCACAACCACATAGTCTAACACTAGTAGAGGAGATTGTAGAAACATATGTCTCATATACTATATACACCTCTGTGTTTTAAAAAACTCTTGTGTCATTTTTATGCCATTACTTCCATCAAATTACAAGCAACATGTTTCTTTGAAAGGCCCGACTGGGCTGGACATAATAACATTGGCTTCACCAATGAGTTATTTTTGCATTATTTATTATTAATTAGTTCTGTGGTTCTATTGGTGACATTAGTGATGCATAACTTACACACTTCACCTATGAAAAGTAAGTAGGTAATCTGGAAGGATTGCTGGTGCCCTATCTGACCAGTATCAGTGTATCATTGTTGACCATGTACATATGTTTTTATGGCTTTTAACATAAAGCATTTGGTTTTCTGAAGTGTATTAAATACTGTTGTTGCAAGTTCTGCTGAATTAAATATTAGGCAATGACAACTAGCTGGCTAACTCTGTTGAGGTTTTGCTAAAATAGTATTCAGTTATCATCAATATCTATATAATATTTATTTATATAAATATTTACAACTTATATAAATATGTATAAATATAAATTGACACATTTAAAAAATAATGACACATAAAATCATGTTGCTAAGAATAAAATTTCTTATTTTTGTGGTGAAAATATTGACATAAAATTTGTAAACAGTTTTCTCAGAAATTGCAAGTAAATTTCACAAATAATTACAAAGAAATGGCAAGTAACACATTGAATTAAACAAGAAATTTTGAAGTAGAAAAGCTGAAATAGAATTTTCTTTTCTTTTGTTCCAAAGATGTTCACATTAAGCAGCGTTACTTTATGTTAATAGTTTGCTTAAAACAAATAATTTATATAAAAACTTAATGTAAATAGTTATTTGGTGTTTTGTGGGAACCCCGAGGTAGTGGCTCACATTCATAGAGTGCTGTCATAGTATGTGCAATAAGCAGTTTAATCTAATATTTGCTGCTAAATTAATTTGACTGATTGGTGTTTTTTGCTCCTGTGTATGGAAGCAAGTGTAATGGGCTCATACAGACAATGCTGCAGTGTTTTTGCCTATTTTAATTATCTGGTGAATACAAAGAATACTGGTGTTAATTATAGTTTTAATACAACTGAGGTGTGAAAATTTAATAATTTGTTTGCTGCACACAGTCCGTAGCTGTCTTTTAAGTGCTATTTTGCCATAAGGGAAAATAAATCTGCCTAGTCACTCGTCAGTGACTCTAACAAATAACAAGCAACCTGAGAATATTAAAACTTGATGGAACTGCAGATGGAAAAAATAGAATGTTGATATGTAAATCCCTGAAAATTACAATCTTTCACTCTATTCTACACTGTCCACATGGAAAGAGTAGTAAACAACATCAAATGCTGCATGGTTTCTCTTGATGATGCTAGATCTACAGTATCTGAAATATGAATGCATTATGTAGTATGTTGCCTTGGCATGTCTTTCATATACAGTATGAAAATTAGTCCTATGTAGTGCCCTTAAGGCATGCCATAATTATCCATCTCTGTCAAGCTACAGCCGAACCTGTCTCATGAAACGAAATACCTATCAAGGTGAAATCCCTCTGCTTCCTCATTCAGCGAGCAGCCCGGGTAAATTTAGCCCCTCGCAAACCTGAACCAGTACTAAACTGCTTCTGACATGCAAAGTAATAGGGGGAAAATAAGCAATGGGCTGTGAATACCAAACTGGAGCATTAGACATGCATACGAGCGGGTGTTCAGCAGAGTTCATTTCAAAGCATAGAAAGTGCATGGAGGTCAATGTAACTGTTCACATGCCTGATTAAAATCCAGGACACCAACAGCACTAACTCCTTTCATTATGGTATTGGAAATGCTTTACTATAGCTGAATTTTATTTTTATTTTTTATTTTTTGCAGGGCTCTTAAAGGGATAGTAGATGAAAATTGTCATCATTTACTCACCTTCATATTGTTCAAAACCGGTAGGACTTTCTTTCTTCTGTGGAACACAAAATAATTAATTGGTAACACTTTACAATAAGGTTCATTAGTTAACATTAGTTAACTACTTTAGTTAACATGAACTAAACATGAACATTACTTCTAAATCATTTATTAATATTAGTTAACGTTAATTATAACATTTACTAATGCATTATTAAAATCAAAAGTTGTGCTTGTTAACATTAGTTAATGTACTGTTAATTAACATGAACTAACAATGAACAATTGTATTTTCATTAACTAACATTAACAAAGATTAATAAATGCTATAAGAAATATATTGTTCATTGTTTGTTCATGTTAGTTAATACATTAACTAATGGAACCTTATTGTAAAGTATTACCAATTAATTAAAAAAAATGTTTCAAGCATCCACTTGAGAAATTGAAAACTGCTTCATAACTTTTTGGAAACCGTGATACATTTTTTGGGATTCTCTGATAAACAGAAAGCTCAATTTATTTGTAGATAGAAATAGAAATCTTTTGTAACATTATAATTGTCTTTACTGTTACGTTTGATCAAATTAATGCATCCATGTTGAATAAAAGTATTAATTTCTTTCTTCCATTTTTAAAATCTACTTACTCCAAACTTTTCAATGGAAGTCTATCATTTTCAAAATATGAAGCAGCACAACTGTTCCCCTTCAGGAACTTGAGCTACATCGAGATTCGCTTTGGGAATGCCCTTGCGTGACCGCGTTCTGAAGCACGTGTCAAATCAGTCCAATGGAGCAGCGAGACGTCACGAGCGGGGTGACGTAAGCACCAGAAAGTATAAAAGCGCATCCGGCAGAGCACAAACCAGCTTCTGCTCTTCAGTAGCGCTCTGTGTATGTGTCTGTCTATTTACTGTTGTCTGTCCACACAA